GAACATGAAAAGACATTAAAAATAGCTTAGTGTTGTACTTTTCCTCGTTCATCCAGCAAATCTGTTTTCCGGAGTCAGGCTAATGGTTCTGAATTTGAAATCATACTTGTATGTAATTTTAAACTTTTTTCCTGTAGTTATAGAACCATGTTTGTTTCATGACTTCACTGAATTCAAGGAACTGGTGTTGGATTTTAATGTGACCTAGTTTTCAAAAAAAAAAGTTGAGCGTTGTTTCTTAAGGTTGAAACAAGTTTAAACGTTCAAAAAAGATCTAAGAATAAATTAAGAAAAAGTTTTCAGTAATCACTACTTGAATTACTAGTATGTTAATATTCAAATAAAATAAAAATGCGGGTGTTTTCTCTATTGGTGCAGGGGTTTATTTGATTCAACAGTTTCTCTGTGTATAATTGTGCAAAAAATAAAATCATTGTTCTAATAAAAAAGGCTGATTTTCATTTTACTTCTAATGACTTCTTGTTCTAATATAATTTATATATTTACTTACCTACTGAATGCTTGCCTATTTTGCTGGTGTTCTATAGTCACTATCAATTATGTGAGACAAACTAGGTTATGAAAGGGTATTTGTGAAAAAAATGTAATTTCCCACAAACCTGCTCTTCACATCTGTATTAATCAAGTTATAGAGGCCAACGTATGTTTTTCTTTAAATTACTGTATATTTTTTTATTTCATATGCAAAACTTTTTTTGTTTCAAGGCATTCATTTTCTAGAGAAGGCAGACCTACCGTCACACTGTAGGTCTGCTTTCACTTGAACATGATGCTGTTCCTCTTGTCACCACTGGCTGGTGCTGCTCAGCCGACCATTCCGCATTGGTTTAAGTATTGTTTTCCTTGGAAATGCAAAGTGGGCGTGTCCTGTCTGCTTTGAAAGATTCTAGTGACCCACCAGTTTACTGTACACAAGAGAAAGTCCTTGCACAGGTACGTTCAAAATAGAACCTTTAAAAGACGGATTTTATTGATAGAGTTTCTGTAAAAAGTCTACAGTGCTAATTGTATAAACAACCAATTTGGGGCATGATTTATTCAACATATATTTTCAGTGTAGTTCAACATTTACTTGTGATCTGATTAGAAACATTTTCCTTGAATGATTTCCCTTTTTTTTTCTTTTCTATGTAAAGTTTTTGAGAGTTTCCTAAAATGTTGGCAGCAAAAGCTTGGATCCAAGGATGCATCCTGCTGGTGTTACTGACATTATGTGGACAAACTGCTGACTGCCAAAGTCAATACAAAGGTAAGCTGAATAAGAACTTGTACAGCTGGTTTGTCATGAATACATAAACATAACAAGTGTTCACCTATGCTGTAGTATAAATGACTTAATTTGAAGAAGATTTGTTTCTAATATATTTCATTGTGTTTATTTAAATATATTTTTAATCAACACATATGAACAAATAACCTAGTGTCGGACTTTGTCTTGTTCAGCCAACATATCTGTTTTTGGAGTCGGGTTTTTTTTCAGTGAACATCTACAACGACTTCAATTTAAGTGGTCACCAGCATATAAAAGCTGCGAGTATGAGACTACAGAATCACTAGTGTCAGTGAACCTACCTGAAAATTCACCTGCTTCAGCTGTATCGGAACCTTTTCTCACTTTACCCTAAAACATGGTTTTAAAAAGTCATGTTAGTCATGCACACTCCTTCAAATAATTCAAATGCTATCATTAATTTTCCACAGGCTCTGCAAATCATGAAGAACTGAGACTCATCCTGGTTGGTAAAACAGGATCAGGAAAGAGTGCATCTGGAAACACCATTCTGGGGAATACAAATGCTTTCAAAGAGGACATTTCACCTGAGTCTGTTACTGACGGCTGTCTCAGAAAAGAGGTAGAAAAAGGTGGAAGAAAAATTGTTGTGATTGACACTCCAGGGCTGTTTGACACAAGCAAAACACAAGATGAAGTGAAAGCAAAAATTGAAGAGTGCATTGAACAGTCAGTTCCTGGACCGCATGCTTTCCTTTTAGTCATCAGCCTGAAGTCAAGGTTCACACAAGAGGAACAGGATGCTGTGACGTGGATTGAAGAAAACTTTGGTTCAGATGCTTCCATATACACCATAGTTCTGTTTACACATGGTGACCTGCTGCAGGATAAATCAGTGGAAGACTATGTAAAAGAAAGTAAACATCTACAAAGACTGATAGACAAGTGTGGAGGAAGGTACCATTCACTCATCAATAATCAGAAAGAAAGCAGAAAACAGGTCAAAAATCTTCTAGATAAAATAGAGGAAATGGTGGAATTGAATGGAGGAAGTCACTACACCAATGATATGTATGATGCAGCCCAGAAGAGACTTGAAGAAGAAAGGGAAAAGAGGAGGAGGGAGGAAGAGCAAAGAAAAAGGGAAGAAGAGGAGAGGATCAAATTAAA